AAGGGAAACGACATAAACAGTGCAACATTAATACAGCTTAATTCTATACGACGTAAGAAACCAATGTATTGGGGGACGGGTCTCTGCCGTCTATCCGATTGAAGATTCATGTACTGACTACCATTTTTACCATCTGTTAGAGCACTGCTTTTGCTACCTGTGAGTAAGCCTTCTCCTTCGCTAGTCAGTCAGTCAGACTATCAGTCAGTTAATGAATTAGTTAGACAGTAAATCGGACAGGTTGCGTTTCAGTTTCGGTGGAAGATGACCCAAATCTCCACAGTCCGCCGATGCCAAGCGACAATCTGAAGAAGCGATGGCTCTACAGTAAGGCTTTCTGAAAAAACTGAACTCTAGACTCCCTTATCTTTCTTCATTCAGGTTTTAATCATGACTACTACGCACAAACAAAATACTCCTGCTTAGAAATGGACATAAAAAAGTTATCTTCGTCGTCTTTAGTTAACGACTCATGCGACTAACATAAAAACTACTTGTGCAGATTACGCACTGCTGCACCAAGATAGTGATTCAGATATATTGTATCCCTTAGTGCTTTAAACGGTACTCGATTATTCAACGTAGAATAGATGGTTTGATGAAAATGGAATTACTTGGGCATAAAATTCATTGCGACAAACTTTCATTTATTCAGCCACTCACCCGCCAGTAATACAATCAATTTGTTTACCTGTCCATTATTCAGTGACTAGTTAATTTTTTTCTTTATGATTTCATTCATTTAAAATTATGTTTGTTCATTTATTGATTAATTCCATCATTCACGGTCCGCTGCGGCCGGCTAAAGCAGTGGACTGTTCACTACGCTAATTGTAGCGTAATGTCAGTATGACCTATTGCAGCTTGAAGTATGAAACTCCTTCATTTACTGACGAATTCTTACGTTCGTTCTTTTTTCATCTCTTGCTTCCTGACTTATTTACTTCCTTTCTTCTTAGCTTTTTTCTTCATTCTCTTCTTTATTCCATTTTTTCGTTCTTCCTTCAACCAATCTTTCTCGTCCTTCAATGATTCATCCGTGCATCCTTCGATCAACTATTCATAAATAACTCTTTGTTAGTGGTGTTAAGAACTTGCATAGATTTTCAATGCCTAAATATGAGCTTGCAAGCACTCCTGACATTTTTCCCTTTAGGTTTAATACGGTTTTTTAAATGTACTCATCCATTAAATATTAAAAAAAATCTCTGACGCACGTTGTAGCGGTGACTTGCTAAAATGTTAAATGGCTTACGTCATTACAACTATTATCGCAGGACCAGAGTCTATAAGCAAGCTGATTAATAAGCAATTTAACTCACTATTTGCAACTGATGATGTATAAATAATATAGGCATGCCAAAATTAAAGTGGTAAAGCAGACAGGCAAGTTTGAAAGGAAAAAGTCAAATAATGAGATAGATACCTCGATGAGACTGTTAAACGGTAAAATTTGCACATAGCTAAATTAGTTGAATTTCTAATAGCCTGATGAGCAGTCAAGTGATCAAGGAATTGGACCAAGTAGCTGAAAAACATAGCAAATCGCATTAACTATGTCCAGACGTAGTAGATGCAGTTTACCGGGAAAATTATACCAGACTTAAGGTTTGAGGAGTATATCGTGAGACAGACGACTTTGTCTATAAGTGAACTTCATGAGATTTCTTCACGGATTTAAAGTATTATTTAAGAGGAACGAGAGACGACCGACGATAGAAACATAAAAGCTATCATATCACAGAAATTTATTATTTTTGAGCTGTGCTCTTCGGCTAAGCGAAAATCAATCCTAAAGAACTACGGTTGCCAAGTTAACTGCAAACCACAGGTAGGCTTGGCAAATCGAAACTTAATAAACGAGCGATAAGTCTTCTTAGACAAAGTAAAAAATTTAATAGTGTGGTCGTTTGGATCAGTTGAGTCGCTGGTGATTGATGGCATCTAAATGAAAACGCATTATTTATGCAAACGGATAGACATGAACAGCTTATACTTTGCTTAGTTGAACGGTTCACCGCATATGAAATTAATAAGTGTTCTCTATTGTTTGAGTCGGTGCCAATCTTTTGAATAAAGGGTATTTGAGCATTCTATGCCAGAGTTGAGCTACTCCTTCCTGTTACTTCTAGTATCTGAATGGTCAGTAGTAAACACGGTTCAGTAATCCGTATCTCCGTCGTCTCTACATCCTGTTTGTGTAACAAACCTTACATTTCTGCTTATCTGACGTTTATCTGCAAGTTTTCTTTAGAATAGCACATTGGAAAGTGTAAATATCTACATTGATCCAGCACAATAGCAAATTTAAATGCAATGCAATTTTTAAGTTCTTAACAGCTAATGATGAGAGCATTTGTTTTGACAATTCAATCTTTCTTACAAGTACCGTTGCTGCTAATGAGAAAAAAGCACATTCTGCAGGAGAAGTTCAGTGTGAGCTATTTTCATTACGTTTCGCTATATCATGAGTGATCATCTGAAAATCATAATAGCATAACATCTTTATCGTTGTTTAGTAATAAATCGTGTTTTATGCTATTTTCATCTTTCACTACATTTAGAATGATAAAAACTGTTCTTTGCCGTATTTGAAGTCAGAGAAAGTGAATGCCTTCGAAAGGCTTCCGTACTGAATAAACAATATAGCAAAACAGATTATAACTGTGCAGATGTTTCGCTACCCGAACGGTACAACTGAAAGTCCTTAGTCCATATGTAATATGTCGTATCTCTAGTTTGAACCGTCTCATGCGAATTGTTAAAAAATCAGCAAGTATGGCTTGTTTTTATTGTCGAGTTACTGTCATCAAAGACTAGACTAGCCTAAGCAACAGAGTAACTCAGATTTATAATGCCTGATTTTTAGAAGTGTCTATCTCTAGCTGATATTAGAAGAAGTTCACTTTTGTGGCAAAGGTCTTATTTCTGGTTGATCTACAGATGGGCCTCAAAGATATTCCTCAGAGTTACGCACTGTCAAGGGACCTACCCCCTGATGACGATTACATTCGAGTAAAGTTTAGATAAGATCTCCATTGTCTTAATAACCGTTTTGTCAAATCAAGCCCGTGCCGGTCTCTGAATTCATCTGAACGTTTCGTCAGACCGGACCCATTAGATGGTCAGCATATGCTCGGCCGTAGTTTAATAGTATAATTGCACTTGGAGGACATTTTGTCGACAGCGTTACTGAAAGCTGCCCAGGCGGACTTAAAGACGCTTCATGGTGGCAAAAGTTTCCAAAAAGTATATGAGCACCGCGAATATAGCTGCTTTCAGAATGGCGATCTTTGGAATAGTTTTTTATTTCTATCTTTCCATGTGCCATGAAGTTTGTCGAGATTCGATGAAACCAGTAAAATTCGCCTATCTACTTCAGTATCAGTGCCCCTATCATGAGCCAACACACTACCAAACATGAATTAAGTCAAATGAATCTGTTGAATAACGATGCAAGTACATATCGATCCCGAGCAGTAGATAAATAGAACTTGATACCTTTTTCAATTACATGACTAGCAGCACAATAAATACGAAGAAGTTTTTCATTTAACAACAATCCGACGTTCTGCTCAAACCAGCATAGGACGTCATCAAGAATCGATTTATGGAGAACTTTCCCTGAGAAATGATGGCAGTTCGGATGAAATCGAAATCAGGGTTACTCGTTGTGCTGATTATTGCAATGGATAATTAGCTATCAAGTGGATCGTATTAGCTATCAGGCGTAATAGTGCCACCAGGGGCGTTTACACCAAACGGTATTGCCTTAAACATATTCATTTTAGCATGACGAGACGGGCCATACTATACTGTCCGTATTTTTCGCATGTCATCAACATACTTACTGCTTCTGGGCTAAACGATCTGAAGGAATGTGGGGTTAACTCCATTTTAAAGGGATTTCTCCGGTAAGAGGCTTCGAAATCGGGGCTTGAAATTCAAAGCCAACCTGTTTGCTTCTGTTCCACCACTCCCCATACAATCGGATCAGAAACAGAATTGTTTTAAATTATAAGATTTTTCTTTCTTTT